TTTAAAGATGAAGGTAATTTAGGGATCCCTGGGTGGCGCAGCGGTTTGGTGCCTGCCTTTGGCCCAGGGCGCGATCCTGGAGACCCGGGATAGAATCCCACGTCAGGCTCCCGGTGCATGGAGCCTGCTTCTCCCTCTGCCTGTGTCTCTGCCTCTCTCTCTCTGTATGACTATCGTAAATAAATAAAAAAAAAATAAAGATGAAGGTAATTTAGAGTATTTCTGTGAAGAAATTAAAAAAAAAGTTACCAAAAAAGGCTTGATGGGGTGCTTGGGTGGCTCAGTTGGTTAAACTTCCTACTCTTGATTTTGGCTCAAGTCATGATCTCAGGGTCATGAGATGGAGCCCTGCATGGGGCTCCACATTGGGTGTGGAGCCTGCTTGAGATTCTATCTCCCTCTGCCCCTCCCCACCCCAGCTTGCACTCTCTCTAAAAAATAAAATAAAAATAAAAGCTTGAGAAAAATTTTACTTCACTGATGAAGAGTTGACTTGTCACAAACACTGTCAATTTACTAGATAGTATCACATCTCTATGTGGCTTTCATATTTTTACATCTCATTTATTAACTCAGTCAACAGGGTTGATAGGTTGTTTATCTGTCAGGGCTTGGAAGAAGGCACACTTGTGGCAAAGAGATCATGTATACCTGTGCTGTCCAATGCATTAGCCTCTAACCACATATGGCTATTATTTTTTAAGGATTTTATGTTTTAAATAATCTCTACACCCAACATGGGGCTTGAACTCACAACCCAGAGATAGAGTTGCATACTACCCTGACTAAGCCAGCCAGGCGCCCCCACATATGGCTACTTAAACTTAATTTAAAATTTAGTTGAGTTGCAGTAGCCACACTTTAAAGTTTTGAGTGTCCCATCCATGGCTAGTGAACACCATATTGGACACTGCAGATACAGAAATTTCTATCATTGCTGAAAGTTCTAGTGGACAGAGTTGATTAAGAAGCCTCTTGAGGTACATGATCTACAAAGGAGGTGGGGAGGGTCTCAACTGGAGCAATGGAAATGTAATGGAGAGGAGGGATCTCTTAAGATACTTAATGTACTGCAGAGTGAAGATAGGGGGATTCATTTAGGAGGTCTTCTAGGTTTTTTCCTATGTAAATGGGTGGATGGTAGAACCATTCACCAAGAAAAGAAATATAGAAGAAGTAGGATTGGGAAGTGGAAATCAGATCTGAACTCAGGGAGAGGCAACCCTTGCACAGGCCAGAGGTCTGAGAAGCTGCTGGATCTCAGAATGTGATCTGAGGGGAGTTTGAGTGGAGGTAGGGGTCCAAGAAAGGAACCATGGATAGGGGCCATGCACTTTGGCAAGAGCTCTCACAGAAAGTAGGCTGCATGACATATAAGATGGCCATAGTGTAGCATCAGAGCCTGAGAAGTCCAGGCATGCAGGGTAAGGTTTTCAAACATGAGTGGGTAATGAAATCAATGGTCTCCACCAGCTTATATATATATATATATATATATATATATATATATATATATATATAAAGAGTATGCTTTGCATAGAATTTGAGTAAAAATCTTTTCCTTAAACTTTTGTATATTTACACAAATATATGTACACTTGTTACAAGGTAAAACATTTTTGGGTTGTGGTCCTATTTGTTTGAATGTCAACTGATTTATAAAGGGAGTACTGCACACTATAAGCTACATGCAAACTGGAACAAGTGTTTTTTTCCTCATTACCTAAAATCGTGGCACATAGTAGCTCAGTAAAGACATAATGCATGAAGGAATGAGTCAATAGGCCAGAGAAGTAAGGGAAACCCAGGACAAGGGTGACTCAAAAGCTAAAGAAGGAAGAGAGAGAATAAATAGCCCCATATCAGGTGTCGGTCATTTGGTGATATTCAGAGCATGGATGACACCTCATATCTGCAATTTCTGTGGATTGACAGAAGCTAGACTGCAGAAGTAGATGGGAAGGGAGTAGAAAGGACACATAGGACAATGGAGTAACTGGTTTTGTACTGAAATTGTGAAAGTTCAGTATGTGTCTGAAAGAGATATAGGAGAGGCAAGCTGTAGAATTGCACTGCCCAATAATGGAATCATTTGCCAAATGCGGAGATTTAAATTAGCATTACATTTAAAAAAGCTGTTCCTTCAGAATACTAGCTCCACTTCAAGTGCTCCATGGCCACATGCGGCCGGTGGCTACCACTCCTCGGAGCTGACAGAAAATTTCCAACATTGCAGTCTATTGGAGAGTGCAGTTCTAGGAGAAAGTTTTAGTTCATCGTGCCTGTCCTGGCCCCACAGGACAAGCCAGCACTGCTCCCAAACTCCTCCTACCAGAAACATTATCCAACTATAGCAGAGAAACTGCTGGAGCTATTACAATCAATAAATGGCACTATACGTGTCTCAGTGAAGGTCAACCCTAGAAAAGGCCAGGGGAGGATACCAGGGAGGCTACCGAACTTCAGGATGTGACCCAGGAGGAGTCTGGGCAAAACAGGTCTTCGTGTCGTCCCAGCCAACGCAAAACCATGTGACAAGCCTTGCTAACGACTGAATGCACAAGGAAAGGAGCTGCGGGACAAGGTGTTGGGGCGGCAGACGAGGCTTCGTGCTGGGGAGTTCGGGCTCGGCGAGACGGAGACGCAGCGTCAAGTGGGGGCATCCCTGCAGGGAAATTCCAGGTCTAATAATTAAAGTTACCAGAAGGTAATAGATACTATATCTGGTTTCCGAACGTGGCTCTCAGTAACGAGAAGGAATGCGATGGGAGACAGGTGTTAGCGTCCGTAAGCTCTGTCTACTTGGACGCTTTAAGTCGGGACTCCCACTGACCCACTGCAGAAGTCAGTTGTAGAATTTACAAAATAAAACGTCTAACTTTGTGGACAAAACAAAACAACCCCTCAAGTCGTTTTTAAAGGAATATACTTGGCTCAATTCCTTAAAAAAGTTTTTTTTTTTTTTTTTTTTTTTTTGGGTGTGTGTGCTTATTCCTGTGGTGAGGGAATGGAGGAAATCCGAAGAGAAGAAAGAATATTCAGCGCGTTTGCCTTCCCTGCCTCAGGGTCAACCTTGAGGTGGCGCTCAGTAAGTTAGGTCTTCTGCAAAAATAAAACATGAATCCTCCTGTCTTCCCCCCTAGGCTGTGCCTGTGACACAAGGTGAGGAGCGGGTCGCCGAGGTCAGGTCCTCTCACGGACACGCGTGGCAGCGCGACACACCGAGTTCGGGCGCCTGGGGTTCTGGTCAGTGCTCACCGGGCAACCAGGTCCGGGGGGGGGGGAGAGGCCCGGGTGGGCGGGGGCGGGGGGGAGAGAGAGGCCCGGGTGGGTGGGTGGGGGGAGGCCCGGCTGGAGAAGGGCTTGCGGGGCGCCGCGCCGAGGAGCACACTGGCCTGTGAGAACTGTCCGTCTGGACCGCGTTACTAAGGGCATCGCTGGCTTGGCGGAGGGACCGGTGACGGCCGGAAGACGCGCTGACGCCCGACTCCCAGGACGCTGTCCCGAGACTGCGGCCGCCGCTCCTCCTCAGGCGCCGCCCCGGCCTTCCCGCGCGAGGCCGGAAGCGACTTTCCAGCGCCCCGGCGCGCAGAGCAAGATGGCGGCGCTCTCTCCGAGGCGACTGTGCCAAGTTCGTTCTAGTTGGGCCGCTTCCCTAAGCGCCAGGGACTCCCGACTCGCATCGCCGACCCTGCTTTTCTCAGCAGAACACGCTCATGTCTCAGTTCCACCCAGCGGAGCTGGAGGCCACGCACGGCGGCGCCCAAGAGCGCCGAGCTGCACTGACTAGCACTGACAGGAGAGACCCGCGCGGAGGAGACGTGGGTGCACAGACGCGGCCCCGCCTCCCGGAGAGCGCGGGGGCGGGGCGAAAGGTCAGGAAGGCGTCATGTGCGGGTGGCGTATTTCCGCTTCCGCCTGGCCCCGTCGCTTTTTGGTTGGACGGGCTTGTTGTGGGGAGGGAGGGGGGAGATTGTTTGCGGTGGAGGAGCTTAGTGTGCGGGAAGGTAAACTGAGGTAAGGTTCTGTGTCGGGGGGCTCGGGTGTGTGGGAGTCCTGGGGGCAGGCTGTTCGGGACTGAGGGAGGGTGCGGGGTCATCCCCGCGTTTGCAGAGAGAAGTGGGGCGGGGCTGGGGTTAGGGAGTGCATTGCGAAGCCCGGGTGGGGGGTGGAGCCCGGGCGGGCGTAGGGAAGGTAGGGGCTCGCGGGGAAGTGCGGAAGGCGCGGGCGGTCCCGAAGGGCTGAGGAGAGTGGTTGCGGCGGGGTCTGGTGGACGCGTGGCGGCCGGGAGCGCGGGGCTCGGAGGCCGAGGGGCAGGGAGGGGCCGCCGGCCCGCGTGCGTCCTCATGCTGCCCGTGCGCTGGGCCTTGGTGTCCGTGCAGCTCTCCGGAGACCGTCGTCCGCAGCTTCGGGGGCCAGCCCTATCTCTCCAGCCGCCACCACAGCCTGGAGGCGCCTGCCTCCGCCCTCCCGAATGGTGCTACTCCTCGCAGGCCTCGGCCCGGGATCCACGCCCCCTCTACCCCCTGCCTTGGAGCCGGAGCTCCGGGTCCCTCCTGCCGGACGCCCCGTGACGGGGACGGAGGACCTCTACCGCAGACCCGGCTGCAGCTCCAGGAGCCCCGCCGACCACGTGAATCTTGGCCTCTAACCCAGCGTCAGGTCATACTTGTGCCCCTTCTCCCGCCGTTTGAGAAGAGAAGCCCTCCTCCTCGCTGGCCGGAGCCCAGGAAGCCCCACGCTGGGGCCCTGGTCCCAAAATGTCAGTCCTCTCTTGTGCATAGGACTGTGCCCCCTCCCCATCAGCATGGCTGAGTTCAGGCCGGCTCCGGGGGGGCGGGAGACCCCGCAGGGGGAGCTTCGTGCTGAGGTTGTAGAGGATCAAGGCCCTCGGAGCCCGGTCTCGGAGGAGCCCCCAAGAAGTGGGAGCGGCAGCACTGAGGCCAAACTGTCTCCCAGAGAAGAGGAGGAACTGGATCCTCGAATTCAGGTGAGAAGAGCAAGAGGGGGACACCTGGGTGGCTCAGCAGCTATTCGTCTGCCTTTGGCCCAGGGCGTGATCCTGGAGTCCTGGGATCGAGTCCCACATCGGGCTCCGGAGTCCCGGGATCAAGTCCCGCATCAGGCTCCTTACATGGAGTCTGCTTCTCCCTCTGCCTGTGTCTCTGCCTCTCTCTCCCTGTGTCTCTCATGAATAAATAAAATCTTAAAAAAAAAAAAAAAAGACCAAGAGGGAGGGAGACACACAGGGAGCCCAGATTCCGGTTTTCCTGAAGAGCTGTGGGATCAACGAAGAGTTAGACTTTCTCTGTCTGGTGGGCAGGAGCGGGAAGGAAAACCAGCCTGGCGGTGATCATGGCAGCAGTGTAGAGCGTGATGCCATGGAGAGAGCCGCCTGCCCCGCGCCTGGGCTGTGTTTCTCAAGGCTTCGCAGACAAGTGAAGCAGCAAATTAGCATCAGATGCAGGGCCTCGTTTAGGTCAGTGGAGAGTAGAACTGTCTGTTGTTCTCCTTTGGCTGAGAGGTGCCATATGAGAGGATGGGATTTGGAGATTGGGAGGTAGTAGGGAACCTTCCCTTCCTTCTCTCCTCATCGGTGCCTTCCAGGGATGCACACGTTTCACACCTTGTAAGGACTCAACAGATTGAGGCCTGTAAGGAAATCCCATGTGTTTAGGGAGTTGACCAGCCATGGCCAGTTCTTAATAATACAGGTTCCCAGGTCTGAGGGTGCTGCTTGTATCCAATGAGTGGGAAAGCTGATTTATTATTGCCTTGGAGTATTTACAGGCAAGTAGTTGGTAGGATGGGCAGATCTTGGAAGGCAGCCTCAGAGCAGTGGGTGAGGAGGACAAGCACCATGCGGGTGAGATGCAAGGTGGCCAAGGTGGAGTTTTATTGTTTCCCGGCATTGACTGGGAAAGTTGCTTGGGCAGGTGAGGGCAGGAAGTTGTCTGTTGGGGGCTGAATCTGCCAGAAGGTCTGGCAGTGTCTCCAAGATTCTGACGTGGCGGTGATGCACATACATCTCTAGGTGAGCAGGAGCATCTCAGGGCTTGCATTCCTGACCTTCTCTGCCATCCAGCCTTTATTAGATCGCTTCTGTGAGTCAAGAGGAGATCAGGTCTGGTCTGAGTATCCTCTCCACCCTCTTAGTGGAGCTTCCCTGGATGTTGAGGTGGGGGAACTGTGTCCATGCTTATATTGGAGCTGCGGTAAGCCATTCGTTTACTGGCGTGGGTCAGTTTATTTCTTCCACGTGTCATGGGTGTTGCATTGAAAACAGCTGAGTGTCTTCTGCTAATTCCATGGATTTGGATTTGTTATCTACTGAGGAAATAATTTGTAGTGAAAAAACGTGGTCGGGCTGAGATTGAAGCAATCTCCAGCTCCATTGTTCGTGATTTCCATTCAAGTTATGTAATCTCTGAGTTTCACCTTCATCTATAAAGTGAGGGGTTGGTCTCGCTGATTTGTGAGCACAACTCCTTGCTGTGCTTTGACATAGTCTTATGGTTCTTTCCTATCACAGCTCTTTGGCATAGCTCTTGGTGAAAGTTTGTAGGTAGTGCTTGGGGAAAGAGTCACGTATCTGTTCTGTGGTGTGGAGGGCTGTGTGATGCACTTCATACATCTCTTTCCAGTGTTCCTTAGTCTCCTCCAGGTGGGTGAGAATCTACCATGGGTGGTTTCTTTGCTCAGCCTCTCCTGCTCCTGTGTGTTTTTCCAGTGCCTACACAGGCAAAGGCCATAGTGTGAAGAGTCACACTCTTATGTTGTGCTGTTTGGTAAAGTAGCTGTGAGCCACGTATGGCTACTTAAGTAAAATAAATTAAAAATTAAAAAATTAAAATGCAGTTTTCCAGCTGCTGTTCGTATTGCAGAAGTAGAACACCTCCATCATCATAGTTCTATTGGATGAGCTCTGTGAGGGTCACAGAGTACCAAGCAGGCATAAGATTTGCCTTGAATCCAGGGAGTTTGCAGTGTTATTGGAGTGAGAAGAACAAGCAGACCATAGTCACTCTTGTTAAACCAGGAGGCACATTGTGGAGCAGTGTGGGTTATGTAGGGAGGAAGGTCTTGTAGAGGCTTCCCCCTTTGATGGCACACTTGTGGCTGGGCCAGTGCTCTCCCCTTATCAGGGCCTCTGTGTCATCTTGCCATGTGAGAGAGGTAGCCCGATGTGAGGGGCACCTCTCACAGAGAAAGCTAGTAGGATTCAGCCCTTCTGTGTTTTGGCTCCTCTAGATAAGGAGGAGATGGAGGCATGTGTCATTTGAGCTCTCTGTTGGTGTTGATGATGCATGAGACCGTAGTATCCTGATAACTGTGTTTCAGTGCTTTAAAGGGATTTTCAGTATATTTTGTGGGTCTCCGCCAACAGATCCATCATAATCCACCAGCAAGTTTTAAAAACACCCATTCCAGGGAACCCTGGGTGGCGCAGTGGTTTAGCGCCTGCCTTTGGTCCAGGGCGCAATCCTGGAGATCCAGGATCGAATCCCACGTCGGGCTCCTGGTGCATGGAGTCTGCTTCTCCCTCTGCCTATGTCTCTGCCTCTCTCTCTCTCTGTGTGTGACTATCATAAATAAATAAAAATTAAAAAAAAATAAAAACAAAATAAAAACACCCATTCCTGAGCCATGCTCAGACATGCGAATTCTGGTCTCCATGGGGTGAGAAGTGGTTTTTTTTTTTTTTTTTTTTTTGTGAGAAGTGGTTCTAACATGCAGCCCACATGTCTTCACTGAGCCAAGGATATCCCAAAGGCCAGGGACTGTGTTCAGGTATTTTCTGGAACTCCGAAAAATGGTTGCCCCTAAGGCAAGGCTTGTACTCAATAGGGAAAGGGGTTTTCTTGGCAGGCAATTCATGTCCCTGTTTTCTGGTAGGATGCCTCTGGAAGTTGGTTGGAGGCCAGCTCTAGGCCTACCTGGAGTTTGCTGTCCCCCAGGGAAGGCCATGTCTTAGTCTCCATGTCTTGACCTCAGTGTAGTAGTTCTCTGAGGCCTTCAGGCTGGTCCTCAGCTTTCTGACAGGGTCCCAGTGGAGGGAAGAAATGAAGGAGGGTGGTGCTAGGATGGTCCTGGGTCTCCTGCCCTGTGACTTTCTCAGTTCCCTTTGTGATGGGCACATTCATTCTCAGGTGAGTGGATATATAGTGCCTTACCTTCTCCCTAGACTCTTCAGAGTGACTTTGCAACCTCTTTGTCCTCATCTTAAGTTATCAGTTTAGTTCTCACAGGATAGTCATATTTTCCTTATTCTCAATTCTTGGGCCATGCATCACCCTGGCCCTGCATCACCATCGGCTTATGTGTTTTAATGGCCTGCACAAGGTGGGCAGGAGCATCTGTCTGCTGAGCACCCATGCCTTTGACTCAGTGGCCTGGCATCTTTGGAATGTGCCCGGTGTGCCCTGGGAAGGTCACCGTCCTTGCTGGTTGCGGGCTCACTGATGGATGATGTGTGCTGACTCAGACTTCATCATATTCAAATTCCGTTTCAGCCGGGTGCCAGGAGTCCCTGGTAGAGCAGGCCAAATGGAATGTATTGCCAGCTTCCCAACACAGAGTCCTGAGTGCTCGTTGACTCCCACTCACCCTTGTCCTGGGTTTGTCCCAGCCTGATTGTTCACCCTGCCCTCTAGCCTATTCTCTTTCCCAGTATCCTGGTCATGTTAGAAAGAGCTTTGTAACTTTGTGATCAAAAGATTTTTTTAGGGGGAATCCCTGGGTGGCTCAGCGGTTTGGCCCCTGCCTTCGGCTCAGGGCATGATCCTGGAGACGGGGATCAAGTCCCACATCGGGTTCCCTGTGTGGGGCCTCTCCCTCTGCCTGTGTCTCTGCCTCTCTCTCTGTGTCTTTCATGAATAAATAAATAAAATCTTTTTTTTTTTTTTAAAGATTTTTTTAATTGCTGGAAGTGCTGTGTGGATGCAAGGTCCCTTATAGAAAGAAGTACCTGCTCCTGCCCTTAGCTGATAGCTGGAGCCGTTCACATCCTTTTTCCTGTGGGGAGACTTACGTAGAGCCGTCAGCTCCTGTGATGATCTTGCTAGGATCTGGGAGCACTTTGGGCTGTGGAACTGAGTGGGATCCAGTCTTGAACCTTGGTTTGCCTATGGCAGTGTTGCAGGATGGCCTTTAGTGACCTCCTCTTCTCTAGAATCAGTGTATTGCCTCCTAAGGGGCATGTCCTCTTTCTACCAGGACTGTGGTTTTTCTAGGTGATTGTACTCCTGTCTTCTCTGAGGCATCCATCCAAGGACATGCTTAGTCCTAGGATGGTGGTCACAAGCTGGATTCCACATCAGGTCCTAAATCCAGTTTCAATTCTGCCCCTAACTCCCCACTTCATTGTTTCTTATCTAGCAAATTTGAATGAGCTGAGAAAGAATGTTCTTACAGGAGCTGCTGAAAGCACTGTTACTTCCCCTCCCAGATAGTCTGAAACCCACCACAGGCTTCATCAAGCTGGAGGAGACTAGGTCCACAGTGGGAGAGGTGGTCTCTCATCCTGACAAGAATTCCGTTTTTTTGAGGATCCTTGGAGAATTCCATCAACTGAAGGTGATGTCCTAGGTAGGAAGGCACTGTGAAACTCTGAGCTGTGTGTGTCAGGTAGGCAGGCTCTGCCCCTGGGCCTCTTCTGAGGTCCTGTGAACTGTGTCACTTTTTATGGTTCCACAGTGTTTTATTGTGATAAACTGGGATTGTGCTTAATGAAATTGCTTATGTGCACCAACTCCTAGACCCACAGTGTCCAGTATGGGAGCCACACACTGAGATGTGTCCTAAGGGTCAAACACATGAAGATTTCAAAGGCATAGGTTAAAAGGAATGTAAAATTCTTTTATGATTTATGTTGATAAACATGTTAAAATTACAATATTTTGGATATAGTGGATTAAATGGAATGTATTGTTAATAATATAATCTGTTTGCTTTTGCCTTTTTTTAAATGGTTGCCAAAAACTAAAAGTTCAATATGAGGCTCACAGTTTTGTTGGACGGTTCTGCTCTGTAAAGTTTAGAGCCAAACTTATGGTCTTCTTTGGGACAGGGGCTGCATTGTTGTAGGTGTGCATATTTTCATACCCTTGTTCCTGATTCTGTTACATGTTTCTTTCTTTCACTAACATTTGGCCATATAACTTGGCTTCCTGTATTCTTACTTGCTGACTCAAATTTTTTAGGACTTGAGGACAGGTATACAAATAAAAAGACTAAAAGAAGATCATATACTGGGTTGTTAGAAGGGCCAAATGAAGTGTGGGAGCCAGTAATGGCAGCATCACTCACTGCCAAGTACAGGTCGTGTCTGGGTTATGGGCAGCAGGCAGACACAGGCCGGTTCCACTACCCTGTCCAGGGCCTGTAAGGCTCCTGGGAGAGCATCCCAGAGCTGAGTGTCAGGTATTTCATTCCTCAGGAGTGTCCTTGGCATGGTGGGCTCATGAATTTTCCCTTAGGTTCTCCGTCCCTGCCACAGAATCTGTTGTGTGAGGACCTGGGGTCTCTGTCCATCTACTGCCCAAGCAGGCCTAGAAGCCCTTGAGCCATGTGATCTTCTCCCATCTTGACCTGAATTGTCTACCACACCCTCGTGATTCTGCTGCATCCTGCATTTGTCTGGCATTTGCCCTGTCCTCTCCTACCTGGCATACTGCAGACAGCCTCCACTTTTGTCCCTCGGCCCTTGTAAACTTGCCACATATTGCTCAGATCCGCCTTCCTAAGCCACAGACAAGGTGGTGCCAGGCTCTGAGGGGCTCCCCCTGCCATTGGGAAAAGTTATGGTATCCTTTCTCTGTGCCCCAGCCTTACTGGCTTCTCACCTGACAAGCTGCCTGTCCGAGGCACCTGCTCTCCTGATTCCTGGTCCCCTCCTCACTGGTGCTTTTCTATGTATCCATCAAAGCCCAGCCCAGGAGCAAGTACTGTGGGTGTCCGGAGCTGGCTTTTTCTGCCCAGGTAGGTGACCCTGCTGCCCCCACCATGCCTACCTCTTACAGCTGCTTGCAGTGCTGAGAACTTCCTGCTTACTTACTAGGTCATGAGCTCCTACCTCTTTGTTTTCTGAATTCTGGGATCTCAGGTGTGCCGAGCTGTGAAGTGTATGTAGAAAACGTGATGAGTGGGTGGCCATGCGGTAGTACTGTTAGAAACACAGACTAGCTCTAAGGAGACTCCTCCTGGCTGGAATATGAAGAGAAGGTGGCACTGACTGATGAAGAGAGGGCAGATTGCTGCCACTCTGCTGTGGCCCTGAGCGTGTTTCATTCCCTGAATTTTGATTTACTCATTGTTAAAATGGGGGTTTAACAACCTGATGCAGAGGTGGAGTTGGGAGGATTACAGGAGACTATGTTATTAGGTCTCCTACCAGGAGCCATCCACAGAACCTCCTGCATCTCTTCCGTTCTCTAGTCAGGTGGACCTTCCCTCTGTGGGCTGTGCTCCCATTCCACGTGGTTCACATGACGCTACTTTCCACTGCTCTCATTTTTTGCCCCTCTCTGTGGCAGGAAGAGCTAGAGCATCTGAACCAGGCCAGCGAGGAGATCAACCAGGTGGAGCTGCAGTTGGATGTGAGTGTTATTCCTTTTCTTCACCCCCTTGAGCTGGTCTCTGGAGGTGTCTCCTCTCTCTGTTCAATATGGTGGCAGGGGGAGGGGCATGTATGAAAAACAAGAGGGACTGGGACCTACACCTATGCCTTCCCTCTGCTCATGTCCCTCTCTCCCTTTGCCAGGAGGCCAGGACCACCTATCGGAGGATCCTCCAGGAGTCAGCAAGGAAGCTCAACACGCAGGGCTCCCACTTGGGGAGCTGCATCGAGAAGGCCCGGCCTTACTATGAGGCTCGGCGGCTTGCTAAGGAGGTATGGCCAGCTGACATGCATTCCAGGAGGGCCACATGCAGAGCCTGGCCCTGGACTCTTCTATCTCTGTATGAATTGTTGGAGACAGAACACTTTCTCCTTTCCTTTTTCTCTTCTGTCTCTTCCTTTTGGTTCATGTTTCTTTTCTTTGCCCACCCCTCCATTCCTTTACCCTTTTCCTTCCCTTTTTTTTTTTAACATAAATAATATGTGTTCATTATTGGAAGACTGTAATGTAACTATACGTATGAAACAAGAAGAAAATCAAAATCACCCCAAATCCTACCATGTACATGTTTCATATTTTTTGAACATAGGATTTGTTTTTTTTTTAAATAATAAATTTATTTTTTATTGGTGTTCAGTTTGCCAACATACAGAATAACACCCAGTGCGCATCCGTCAAGTGCCCCCCTCAGTGCCCATCACCCACTCACCCCCACCCCCCGCCTTCCTCCCTTTCCACCACCCCTAGTTCGTTTCCCAGAGTTAGGAGTCTTTATATTCTGTCTCCCTTTCTGATATTTCTCACACATTTCTTCTCCCTTCCCTTATATTCCCTTTCATTATTATTTATATTCCCCAAATGAATGAGAGCATACAATGTTTGTCTTTCTCCAATTGACTTACTTCACTCAGCGTAATACCCTCCAGTTCCATCCACGTTGAAGCAAATGGTGGGTGTTTGTCATTTCTAATGGCTGAGTAATATTCCATTGTATACATAAACCACATCTTCTTTATCCATCATAGGATTTGTTTTAACCAAATGTGGTAAGGTGACAGACACAGAGAGAGCTGCCTTGAAAGGAGACTGTATTACTTAAAAGTCCCAAGAAGGAAAGGCATGCCACACCATGTTAGGGCCACGTGGGGAGGCACCTGGGTCAGTGAGGAGCCAGAAGAACTGAGAGGGAAGCTTGGCTCAGAGCCTTTATTGTGCTTATCATGGGAAGGAGTGGGTAAGGCACTTTGAGTTACCTCAAAGGTAACTTTGAGCAAATTTGGAATTAGATAGCTTGAATATTTGTGAGCTCTGGGTGAGGGGTGGTCTATATAATTTGGTACCTGGCCCTGGGGTAATGTAGAGCAGGTGTGAGAAATATTAGTGTGGTGTGAGAGTTAGATAAAGGGAGTGGTGGGGATTTGGATTGGTTGGTTTGCATTTGAAAAGTGTGCTCATAGAGGAGTTTACTATCTCTAGGACTTAGCCCAGGAGGGTCATGAGGCCCCCCAAGATGTCAAAGCATTGTAAAATACAGAAATTACAATTAATACAGCACAGATAGCCTCTTAGTTTTTTTGTATGTATTTTGCCAAAATGAGGTGACATGTGCTATTTTTATTTTTTAATTATGACATAATTCTGTGTTGATAAGTATTCATCCTTGCTGTCAATTTTTTTTTTAATTTTATTTATTTATTCATGAGAGACACAGGCAGAGGGAGAAGCAGGATCCATGCAGGGAGCCCAATGTGGGACTTGATCCTAGGACTCCAGGATCGCGCCCTGAGCCAAAGGCAGATGCTCAACCTCTGAGCCACCCAGGCGTCCCACCTTGCTGTCATTTTTAAGAATTGCTTAGTATTTCCTTATTATTACTTTGTTGTTCATTCTGTAACTGAAAAGTTAAGTTTCCAGTTTTTTTTTGCTTTTTTTTGTTTGTTTTTGTAAGCATGACTCTGATGAATATTGTTGAGCACTTGTCTTACTTCCTTCGGCTTACCTGCTGAATTGGAATTGATGATTACATTGATGATGTGTACTTTCTGTAAGATTTGGTCTGTGTCACTAACCACCTTGCAGCTGAAGTGGTGTGGATTTTTCTTTTTTCCCCTTAGGTCAAAAGGCCAGTGGCCTCTGTAAGTGCTGATTTCACACCCTCTCACCCTCTAGCAGCAGCATTTTCCAATCTTTATTTCTACATTTACTTCTTTTAAGTCATATCCTTACAAAATATTCTTTATAGAATGCTACTTCTTTGATATTTATCATTAGCACAGTTTGGGAAGTGAAGCTGATGTTGCACTGGCCTTCCTCCTTATCTTGTCCTCATCCAAGATGGGTCTCCATGGGCAGGTGGGGCTCCTTGGGGCTCCCCATCCTGATAGCCCTCTCTTCCCAGGCCCAACAAGAGACCCAGAAGGCAGCGCTGAGGTATGAGCGGGCCGTGAGCATGCACAATGCTGCCCGGGAGATGGTTTTTGTGGCTGAGCAGGGTGTCATGGCAGACAAGAACCGGCTGGACCCCACGTGGCAGGAGATGCTCAATCACGCCACCTGTAAGGTAAGCCAGTCAGTGCCAACAGGTCTTCTCAGGTTCTGCTACTTCCTTTGCTGTGCTTTCATCCCATCATCTTCCTTCCTCCTTCCTCCTTCCTTCCTCTCTGCCCTGTTTGGCCTCTGTTAGTATACTTTGATTTTTTAAGTGTAATTTGTGTATTGTTTCTCAGCTATTCAAAGGAGAGTAGAGAGTGGGAGGATCCCTGGCATCAGCTCCAGTCTGCCACCTTCACCTTGTAAAGAAGTTAGTCCATTGAGGTTGTTACAACAAAATAACATAGACTGTGTGGTTTAAGCAACAGTTTATTTCTTACAGTTTTGCAGGCTAGGAAGTCCAAGCTTAGGTGCAGGCAGATTTGAGGGCCTGGTTCCTGGTTTCTAGACAGCAGGTGGTCTTTTCACTGAGTCCTCATGAGCTGGAAGGGGTAAGTGGGAGCTCTCTAAGACCTCTTTTATGAGGGTGCTAATCCCATTTAGAGACCCTCCATAACCTGATCATCTCTCAGAGGGTCCACTTCCAATGCAATCACTTTAGGGTTTAGGATTTCAACATATGAATTTTGGAGGGATACAAACATTTAGTCTCTAGCAACAGATGTCAACTCTTGAAGGATGGTCATTTTTTTTTTTTTTAAAGATTTTATTTATTTATTCATAGAGACACAGCTAGAGAGAGAGAAGCAGAGACACAGGCAGAGGGAGAAGCAGGCACCATGCAGGGAGCCTGATGCGGGACTCGATCCCAGGTCTTCAGGATCACGCCCTGGGCTGCAGGCGGCGCTAAACTGCTGTGCCACCGGGGCTGCCCCAGGATGGTCATGTCTTAAGAGATAAGAGCGTGGGTCCTAGATCAGTGATGTATATGTTCTCTGCCTCATCTGGGCCAGGTGAATGAAGCAGAGGAGGAGCGGCTTCGTGGTGAGCGGGAGCATCAGCGGGTGACTCGGCTGTGCCAGCAGGCTGAAGCTCGGGTCCAGGCCTTGCAGAAGACGCTCCGGCGGGCCATTGGCAAGAGCCGCCCCTACTTTGAACTCAAGGCCCAGTTCAGCCAGATTCTGGAGGTAGGGGAGGGGGAGTGGGAGTGGGAAGGTATGTGAACAGGCAGGAAGGGGGCAGGCATAGAGAGTGAGGGCTGTTAGAGGGGATGCCGGTGCCTCTTTGGGCCATCTCAGAGACCAGTGTGGTGGGATAGGTAGGCAGTACATGTGCTTAGAATGACCCATAGGAGTGGGAGTGCAGCTTGGGGAATAGGTGCTGGCAGAGAATGGAGTTGAAAGGAGGCAAATGAGGAAAATTGGGAATCGGGAAACCAGGGAGATTGGGGATAAGGAACTGGCCAGATAGGGAAAGGGAACAGTGGGGCGAGGAGGGGTGAGTGGGAGTGAAGACCTGGGTAGAAGGCTTAGGTGAGGAGCAGGGCAGGATTGCTGGGGAAGAGGAGGAGTGGACAGGGGTTGGCTGGGGGTGTAGAACTGTGGGTATGTGTCGAGTGGGGAGCTGCCCGTGGGTCTGGAAAAGGAGAGACAAGTAGAGTGCTAGTGGGGCTGAAGCAAGCGACTCAGCTCCAGAAACACGGAGAGTTGCCCCCTGGGTCACCTCACTCTGTTCCTCACTCTGCAGGAGCACAAGGCCAAGGTGACAGAGCTGGAGCAGCAGGTGGCCCAGGCCAAGACTCGCTATTCAGTTGCCCTGCGCAACCTGGAGCAGATCAGCGAGCAGATTCATGCACGACGCCGGGGCCAGTCCCCTCATGCCCCAGGCCAGCGGCGATCCTCCCCTGTGGGGGCAGAGGCTGGGCCTGATGGTGGGGAGGATGGGGACAGTGGGATCATGGAGGGGGCTGAAGGCGGGGGCCTGGAAGAGGGCAGCAGCCTGGGGCCTGGTCCTGCCCCTGACACAGACACACTCAGCCTGCTGAGCCTGCGCACCGTGGCCTCAGACCTGCAGAAGTGTGACTCTGTGGAGCACCTGCGGGGCCTCTCTGACCACACCAGTCTGGATGGCCAGGAGCTGGGTCCCCGCAGTGGGGGACGCTGGGGTAGTGATGGTGGGGGCCGTGGGGGCCGCCATCAGCGCAGCATCAGCCTGTAGTCCATGCTCAGGGTGGCTTGTTCCTCTTCACCACCGCTGACCCATGAGGACCAGACAGGCTCCAAGCTCCCTCTCCTCAGGTTCTTGCTTCCCTTGGAGAGGTCAGGTTGGCTCTTGTCTCTGGTGGGTTTCTCCCCGTCCTCGCCTTTCCAGGTCCCTCCTTGCAGGTGGCAGCTCTCTTTGCCTTATCCTTTCAGAAGGCTTTTCTCTGGCTCTCACATTTGCCCTCTCCCTGCTGGTTCCTCATGGTCTGATGCCCTTTGCTGCCCCCTTTCTGCCTTCCTTCCCTCTGTCTGGTTTTCCCCTCAGGGAACTTGGTCTGGAAGGCACAGGGAATCCCATCAGAGAAAGTGGGTGTGGGACCTGAGTCCTGGCAGTTTGGCCCCCTAGCTTGAGGAAGTAGACACATGTCCCTTCCACTTCCCCATCTCCCGAGGGAGTCTAAGGATGCTGCAGAGGCCTCTGTCCCAGCCTGTTCATGTGGAACCTGTAAAATGCACTGTAGGACTGTGCCTCTGGAAAACACTACCCATTCCTTCAGTGCCCCTTCGTCATGACCCAAGCCACTTTGCTATGTGTGCCGCAAAGCAGGACTTGAAGGGTACCAGTGTCAGAGAAGGTGAAACCCGACTCCTTGTCAACATGGGAGGACACCACCAACTCCATTAGGCTCCCATGTGCATGGTGTTTTCCCCAGCTGGGCTGGGCCATTAACATTGCTGAGGTGCTAGTAAGTCTCTAACAGGGTCCGTGTTAGGGGTAGATGTGGAATGAGGTCCAGATGGTGGAGGCCCTTGCCTTTCCTGCTGCAGAGTTGGGTTTACTTTTTCTGGGTATAGGATGTTGAGCTGAATCTCAGCATCCTCCTGCAGGGTGGAGTTAGGGAATTTGGTGCTCAGCTGCTGTCCCTCTCTCTTCCCCAAACCAAACAATACCTACTCCAGGATCCCTTGCAGGAGATGCTCAAGTTTGGCTGCAGAGCCTTCTCTGATGCAGGGAGGGGTTGCCCTGGGGTGAGGGAACCCACCCTCCATAGGGAGCAGCTCTGGGTGTTTGGTAGTGTTCTAGGCTCTATGGGGAAGCCACACCTGGATCTGGGTTCCTTGGGAGAACTGGTCCTTTCTCCTTTCCCACCCTAAGAGGTCTGAGAGCTGGACTCTAGGCAGGACAGCTGGTGCCTAGGCCTTTGTGCTGCTGCCATCACCTGGGAGGAGTGGGCTTTCATATGGAGGGTGTCTCCCTTTGCTAAGATGGTCACTATGAGAACCACTGGGTTTGAGGTGGCCATGGGTAGAGGGAGGAGAGGGAGGGAAACATGGGCATGTGTGTGTGCATGTGCTGGGGGTATGTGTGTGTGAGAGAGTGAGTGTGAGAGAAAGAAGAGGGTATGCCCCTGATTTTATTTAAATAAAATAGTTTATGTAACAGTTAACGTTTGCTGTCCCTGTTGGGGCGGGGAGTCTTAATTTTGGTCAGGGCGGGGGAGACCTCCCTCCTACCTGCCAGGCAGGGAGATGAGGACATTGTCAGCCACTGGTACTCCAGAAGGGATGGGGATGCCGACCCTCGATCTGGACATGTGTTGAGGAAAGGGGAGGGACAGTAGTCAGGCTGTCTGACTGAAATTTCAGATAGTTTTCCCTCCTGCAGTGTTTAGGGCATATTTATACTAAGTTTTTTGTTGCTATCTGAAATTAATATAGATGAGCTGTCACCCAAGTTGGGACTTAACCTTTTGTGGGGTGGAAAGGATTTGATTGTGTTTGGACCCACAGTCTGTGAAATACTTGGTGGCATCAGGTTGGAGAGAGATGAGAACTTCAGGAGGTGTAGATGTGTAGAGTGAAAGTTTTGGATTGAGCAGCCTCAGCCCCAGCCCCAGAGGTGCGCCTGCATTTCGAGGCAGGTCAGGAGGGATACACCAAGGGATGGAGAAGGCACTGCAAGGGAGGAGGTTAGGAGACCCCCTTGGAACCTTGATGGGAAGTGGGTGACCTGAAGACCCTCAAGGGGCAGAGGGAAGGCCAGAGTTGGGACAGGACAGCAGTGACCCTGGTGATCTCAGGTGGCATATGGGCCATCTGGAGCCACTGTGTTGTGAGCATGCACTGCGTATCTTTTGACAGGTACTGTCCAGGTATGAGACTGCCTTACTCAAGCTGGCTTTTTATTTATATTTTAAATCTATTTTGTTTATTTATCTTAAAGATTTTTATTTATTCATGAGAGATAGGCAGAGGCAGAGACACAGGTGGAGGGAGAAGCAGGCTCCATTTCCATGCAGGGAGCCCGACGTGGGCCTCGATCCCAGGACCCTGGGATCATGCCCTGGGCCAAAGGCAGGCACTAAACCACTGAGCCACCCAGGAATCCCCTGGCTTTTTTTTTTTTAATATTTTATTTATTTATTTATGAGAGACACACACACAGAGAGAGAGATGCATAGACACAGGCATAGGGAGAAGCAGGCTCCATGCAGGGAGCCCGGCGTGGGACTCGATCCTGGGTCTCCAGGATCACACTCCCGGCTGCAGGTGGGGCTAAACCGCTGCACCACCAGGGCTGCCCACCCTGGCTTTCTTTTTAAACAAATTTATCTTTCTCGCAGTTCAGAGGATAAGTCCAAAGTCAAGCTGTCAGTAGGATTAGTTCCTTCTGAGGGTTGAAAGGAAAGGATCTGTCCCAAGTCTCTTTCCTTCATTTGTAGATGTATCTTCTCCCAGTGTCATCATCTTCCTTGTGTACAGGTCTGTGTTCAAATTCCTCTCATAAGGGCACTAGTCATTTAGGATCAAGGTTCACTCTCATGACTTCATTTTACCTAAGTATCCTCTGCAAAGACGCTCTCTCCAAATGTCACATTCTGACTAGGTTATAGCTTCAGCCTATGGATTTTGAGGGAGACACAGTTCAGTCCATAACAGCACAAAAGCAAGTCATCACCATGAACAATGTAAATGGTATCTGATTCTCTTCTTTCCATTGCAACATCACTGGATTTAATCTACCGTTGCTTATCTGAATGGCCTTCATCCGACCTCTCTTCCTAATTGAGGAGTGAAGTGTGGTAAGGCAGATGGGTGCCAGAATATTCCCTTTATTCCTGGAAAAGTTGTGAGAATGCATGGCTTATGTCCTTGGACAAGTAGGCTTTCTGTGATGACACTCCAGGGTCCTACTTCCCCACCCAATCATTGCTACAGGACCTGCAAGTCTCTTGGTGTGAAGGAATCCCCAGAAGAAGGGCTGGCTGTGCCCACCCTGTTTCTTTTCACAAAATCACCTCCTAGATAAGGCAAGAGTGGACATCTAGTAGAGTTAAGAGCTAATGGCGCTGTTTCCACATGGAAGAAAATGGCCACAGCAAATATGCCCCCCCAACCCTCTCCTAACGGTGTCTTGTATTCATGTGCCAGGTGTATGTATTTGCCGATTTCCACAACAGCCTTATGAGGTGGGTAGCACCATGATTGCCTTTACAAAGATGAGAATTCAGGTGTAGTGGGGATGCTTAGTTTGCTCATAGCCTAGTAGAAGGTAATGGAAGTGTTTGGACTTGAGTGCACAGGAACCATAGGTGAGAAAGTGGAGTGGACGTATTTACCTCTTAGGAAAGTTTCCTGGGGGAGGGGAACTGAGCTAAGAAATAGGAGAGTTAAGGAATTTTGTTCTAAAATGAGCAAGAGGTGGTGAAACAGGGTGAAAGTTCCCCCATTCCTGTGCCATGTCATGTTACCCATGTTACTGAGTGGTAATAGTCTTCTGAACTATATCCTCCCCAAGTGAGCAGCTGGGCCTCAGTCTCCCCAACACTTAATACATGTCTGGCACTTAAATGTTTAGGAAACATACTTTTGCATCTCCCTCCTCCCCCCAGTCCAAATCTTTGCTAGATTACTTTGTTAGACCATGGTTAGGAGGTCAGCATCTGTATCCACAGTCCTAGGATTATATCTCCATGTCTTCAGGTGGGGAGTTCTCTAGGCTCCAATTTAATTACCTGTAAAATGAGAAAGCGTGGGTATGCCTAAAGCTATGCCAGGTAGTAGCCACATGATCTGGAATTAGTTCTCTGCAGATTCCAGATTTGGAGGGCCTCCTTCTGTCTTGTGCTAGAGAAGGAGGCTTTTTATAAAGGCCCCGATGAAGTTTGGGTTTACTTCTTACTCTGGATGTAGTTTTGGTAGTCGCCCTTTAACTTGACCTACTAGCAAGTGCAGCAAGGATGGGCTTCTCGGGCTGTCATGGTCCTGCTTGGTCGGCAGAGGGCAGCAGCCACCAGAAAATGGGTGGAGCGCAACCTGGGTTGGCTGATCCTGGTCCTGATTTTCCTGCTGTTGGGTTTGTCTCCTTGATGCTTGGCAGGTGATCCTGGGACCCTGGAGGGGTAGAAGATGGGGTGTATGAATTAGAGTCCAACCACATCCGTCCCCACCTGGGCTTCTTGCACCCCTGATGTGCTTGGGATGGTCTGTTGTGTGTGAAAGCTGGTTCAGGTCTGTGGGGCAGCAGGTCATTTGAGACCATATGTTCTGTGCTTCTTGACGCCCTGTTCTCAGCACTGGCCTCCTTCCTTGTCCTCCTTGGTGGCTTTTCACCCTATGCTTCCTCAGCCTTCTTGCATATTCCCCTCTTGGGAAGTCCCTTTGGCTTCCCTCTACCACCACTCCTGAGCCTTTGGCTTCCCCTTTGTCCACCATCCCTGCCTGGCCCCAGACTGCCACACTGCACTGTACCTTGAATTAAAGGAACCAGAGGACCATTTAGCTGGCTGGCAAAAGGGCATGTAGTTTATTAAATATTTAGCACTGGTAGCACCTGTTAGGAATACTAGAAAGTATAATACTGGGGCTGGATATCCCATTGAGAAACACAGGTGGATACAGGTAACAGGTGATACAAGGCAGCAAACAAATAGATATTTTAAGGTTTATTTGTTTTAGAGAAGGGGAGAGGGACGGGGGGAGAGAGAGAAAATCTCAAGCAGACTCCCTGCTGAGCTTGGAGCCCGACCAGGGCTCAGTCTCATGACCCTGAGGTCATTACCTGAGCCAGAACCAAGAGTTGGACACTATGCCGACTGAGCCACCCAGATGCCCCAAATGAATAGATGTTTAAGAGGGCTGCAGGCAAGGGGAGGTCTGGGAGGTTAGGAAAGGCTTTGAGCAGGAAACTACTCTCTGAAGCTCTGGACCAGCCCCTGCCCTCAGGCAGGAGAGGTGGTGGTCAGATTCCTCCCGTAACACTCTCTTCTGCCAGTTGTCTTACCCCCATGCCTTGCTCTTCTGAAATTGTCCTGTGCTCATCTGGTCTGGGCCTGTGGCTCACCTGCCTTGGTGTCCTCAGGGTGTGAGACAGCACTCTTCAGCAGACATCGTCCGTTGACTTGCTTATACTTGTGCTGCTCCTGGCACAAGTTCTCTCCTGCATAACCCATCAGATTTCTGCCTGTGATTTGAGGCTCAGCTCATGTGGACTTTGGACCAAATCTCCTGGGCTCCTTTGACTTGTCACAAGCCTGGCTCGGTGTCATTCCTGACTCCATCCCACTCAACACTTAACATAGTACAATAGACATTCTATAAAATAGAGTGACCATACACCATGTATTCTCTAAACTGAGACACTTGAGTGTGAAAGGCAGCGGCAGATGCAAGTCAGGACTGAAAAGCACCGACTGCACCGTCTAGAGAGAGCTGTCACTGGTCTGCCTCTGCCATGCAAGCATGTGTGCTTATGGATGAGGCTGTCAGCTCCTCTGGGTTTTGGTGTTCCTGGGTCAGGAAGGGGAGCCAGATGGGGTGGATAACATCTCAGGTTATCAAAGCACTAAATTATGGCTGGTGGAGGAGGTTGGGGCCCATGGGAGGTATTTTGGTGAAGGTGGTTAGATGGTAGATGTGTTTGTAGAAGATGATGGGTCTTAGCATGAGGGCTTATCTTGATGGGTCATAGCATGAGGACTCCAAGACTGGGGTTGGTCAGGGCCCAGCCTAGAGGCAGTAAAGAGCTGCTAGACATTTCTGCTTTGGATATGAGGTGGTGAAGGACTTGGCAGTGAGTTTTCCTTCCTCAGAGCAGGTAGGCGGTTACCACCACACAGTGGAGATAAGCCAGCTGATTTATTCATCAACATCATTGGGAGGAGGGGCTATAAAAATTAGTTTCTTCCCAATTTGGGACAGGAACATCCTGATCTAGGCTGGGATGGAAACTAGGATTGTGTAGTTTGTCAAGAGCAGACAAATGCATCCTTTCTTGGTTGCTGTGGTATCCCCTTTTCCTCACTCCTTGTGATTTCTGCAGTAACATGCTAAGTAGGCAGGGTCCTCTCTACACCCAATGGGGCCTGTCCTCCTGAGGTGAGGCAGGAACTCTTCTTACAGGAGTTGGGAGACTGAGAGGGGAGTGGAGGAAATAGTGGAAGCTGAG